ATTCTATTCTATTCTATTCTATTCTATTCTATTCTATTCTATTCTATTCTATTCTATTCTATTCTATTCTATTCTATTCTATTCTATTCTATTCTATTCTATTCTACTCTACTCTACTCTACTCTACTCTTATTCTTATTCTGTTCTGTTCAGGGCAACCAAAGAAGACCCAGCTGATCAGCTGGGACTCGGGAGGCAGAGAATAGATGGGGGTGGGGCCAGTCAGAGGTGGTATTTGTCGGTTCTCTGAACTACTCAAAATTTCCGCTACCGGTTCTCCAGAACTGGTTAGAACCTGCTGAACACCACCTCTGGTTGGAAGGGTCCTTGGAGATCTTCTAGTGAATTAACCCCCTACTCAAGTTATACCATCCAAATGGTTCACCAATCTCTTCTTGAAAACCTTCAGCATTGGAGCACCCACAACTTCTGGAGACAAACACTGATTATTTGTACTAACCACCAGGAAGCCTCTTTAGTTCTAAATTGGACCTCTCCTTGAATAATCTTCCATCCTGTACTTCTTATTCTGGGATGTAAGATGGTTCAAGCCCAGTAATAGGAGAAACTTCTCTGAGGGATAGAGACTCACCTTGGAGGAAAAATCACAATGGGGCAGATATGACCCCAAAGTATTCTCTCTGTCCGTTACTCTCAATTGGGCCTCCTTCTCGGCCCCTCGCAATGTGAGCCTCTTCCTTGTGGTTCCCTCTTCTCCCCCAGGGTCCCCTCTCTTCCTCCCACAGCATCTTCCCATCTTTAAAAGGTGAGTGTGGGCCCCCAAAGACCTTTCAAAATACCATTTTTTTCTTTTTATGGAGAAAATGAAATGGTTGAATAACTGGCTAGCTGGAAGAGAAGGAATACATCTAATTAATTTGTGTGAGGAAAATCAGATTTCACATGACTGGAACAATTTGAGAGAAATTGAGATAGAAAAGAGCCCTGCAACATCTATTTGGCTATTGCAACTTTTTATCCTTGAATTTATCATTTAACATTCGCACTGCAACTTTTTCATCTGAAGGTGTAAACGTTTCTTTCTTCATTATGACTATTGTACCCTGTGAACAGGCTGGGAAGTAACCTTAGATGGAGTGACCATACCCCACATTCACTGTTCTCTCCAGTGTGTGTGAGTTTCGGTATATGACATGGGTAGGACACATTATAAAAATGGAGTAACGTGACATACCATGCCAGCTGCTCTATATGTATTGGAGTCTGGGAAGAGACATTAACAATGCAAGCTCTACAAAGACCCTGTGAAAAAAAAATCCCATACCGCTATGACATCCAACCAAGGGAATGAAATGTTGCCTGTTTGGTGGAATTTTTGTGATCTTTTCAAATAGAATAGAGTAACAGAGGTGGAAGTGACCTTGGAGGTCTTCAAGTCTAACTCCCTGCTCAGGCAGGATATCCTAGATCTGTGATGGCGAACCTATGACATGTGTGCCGGAAGTGGCACACAGAGCCATTTCTGCCGGCATGCGAGAGGTCATCTGGAAGAGCCCCACTGCGCATGCGGTCTCGCACATTCATGGAGGACAGGCGGGGTAGGTGTCATACATGCATTGCATCATGGGTGCAGGCATGCGAGTGCATGCGCATGTGAGCACACACTTTTGGCACACGACGTGGAAAAGGTTAGCCATCACTGTCCCATATCATTTCAGACAAATGGTTGTCCAATCTCTTCTTAAAAACTTCCAGTGTTGGAGCATTCACAACTTCTGGAGGCAAGTTGTTCCACTCTCTTTCAAGAACAGGGCTATCAAATTTCTGGCCTGTAGGCCAGATATATCACGTGCTGGCCACGCACATGCCCATTTTAGCGAAGGGGAAAAACGTTCCGTCACTTGACTCCATGAGTTTGACACCCCTGTTCTAGAGTTTCAAGATCTTTTTTTACATTGTGGTGACCAAAACTGGATGCCGTATTCCAAGTGTGGCCTTATAAAGCGGTATTAACACTTCACGTGATTTTGATTCTATCCCTCTGTTTATGCAGCCTAGAACTCTGTTGGCTTCTTTGGCAGCTGCAGCAGAAATAGATCCGATTCCGTCTTTCAATCAAAGATAAGAAATATATTTAATAAGCAGGAGATACTGAAAGTTTTGTTACAGCTACATAGAGAAAAAAATGTGCAAAGTCACAATCATTCCAATAACAGCAGCTTTTCCAAATTTGCAATGCCACAATTCCCTAAAATGTCAACAGGATCAAGCTTTCTGATCACTTTGATATCAGTATGGATCTGTTTATGAGAAGCAAGGGAACCGCTTGTCTTGAAGTGTTTTCCACAATCCATGCACTTATAAGGATTTTCACTTGAATGGATCCTTTTATGGGATGTCAGTTGACTCCTATTCCTGTAGCTCTTTCCACACTCAGTACACTTATAGGGTTTCTCACCTGTATGAAGACTTTGATGGGAAGCAAGTCCATCTCTTTGCCTAAAGCTCTTTCCACACTCTATGCATTTAAAAGGTTTCTCTCCTGCATGGATCAATTTATGGGAAGAAAGGCCAGCACTCTGCCTAAATCTCTTCCCACACTCTATACATTTAAAGGGTTTCTCTCCCACATGGATCAATTTATGCCTAGTAAAATGAATGTTCATCCTGAAGGTTTTTCCACAGTCTACACATTTATAGGGTTTTTCCCCTGAATGGATCCTTTTATGGACCCAAGAAACTCTGAGCTAATCTCCTTTCTGGCTGCCCCCCAGCAAAGGGAGCAAAGCCAAAGGAGCCTCCCCCCCACAGAGTCCTAAGTGGCTTTGGGTACATTTTCACAGGAAAGAAGCAAACTATGTATGGAATTCCTAACAATTGTGCAATTAAGGATCGTGAGAAAAGTGGGGAGGGGAAAAGGACAGCCACTCCCCTAGAAGACGGAGATAAGCCTTTAAAACATCCTCATCACCTGAGGCTTCTCAGGCGTCCAACTTCCCAGGAGGTCAGGGAAACGGGCTCCCCGTGAAGCACAAGGTCATACAGATAATCCCCTGGAAAGCAAGAGTGGATGCTGCACTGGAAGGCTAGAGACACGTGTCACGGGGGTCGTGGGAAAACCAAGGGAGCTGTGGCTGGAGGAGACCTCTAGATTTGGGGCCTCCTCGGCTAGTAGCCTGGGCTTTCCACATCTCAGCAGTCGTTGCCTCCCCCAGACATTGCTTCATTGAGGGCCCACCTGCTTCCTCTTTGGGACAACCCCCCCCCCCCCCAATTGAACACGGAAAGATCCCTCCAGTTTCGCTGCACACAAAAGCTTTCTCAGCAGGGGAGAAATCACAAGAGATTCTGCCCGGAGACAGATGACTCAATAGAAGGGAGGCTTCCCATTGGCGTAAGCCCCCCTTCCCAATTCCACTTCTCCCCTCGCTTGGGGGAAGCCTCCATGGGCTCCGCCTGTTGCTCTGGTAGAGACGTCGGTTTGGGAGCCCTGGAAGCGAAGGGGGGAAGGAGTAACAGTAAGGGTGGGGGAGTGTGAGGGACCACTGATGTTGGCGGGGGCGGGTGGAGAGAAGTGGACTGGGACCACCATCCAGGGGAGACGTGAGCGAGTACTCCTCCCCTTTCCTCTTGGCCACGCCCCTCCTAGTGCGATTCCCTCAGACGGAGAAGCGGGAAAAGTGGATCCGAGAGGAGGAGGAGGAGCCTATTCTGGCGGGAAAAGCGGAGAGACAGACGCAGCTGTGAGAGAAGTGCCACCATCGAAGGCGGGGGGCGTCTTCGGGGTCGTCAGGGACGGATTGGACTCCTTCTTTCTCTGGGTCAGTCACTGAATGGCGCCTCTTTCTGGTCCCCTCTTCTCCCTCAGGGGCTCTCTTCGCCTCCCCAGTGTCCCCCTCAGGAGCCCCTTTCCAGCTTCTCTGATGGGTTCCCCTCAAGGGACCCTTTCAAGTCACCCCTCACAGAGACGAATGACTTAGAAGATTCCCAGATCCCCACACCCTTCAAGCCCTCGGCCTTCACTCGCCCCCAAAGACCCTTCAGAATAATGGTGGTATTTCTTTCAGGGCTTCATTTTCAAAGAGGAAAGAGTGGAATCACTGTCTGGACAATAAGGAATATATTGGACTTATTCTATTAACACATTATTTTTAATGATATATTGGCTCACGGCCTGCTGGATGTGCTGGGCAGCTACTGTCCCAGCCATATGGAATACAACAAGCGTGCTCAATAGTGCACATCACGTGCCTCTCCCCCCAACTCTGCCTGCTGCCGGTGCTGACACTGCCATGCCTTTTTCTTGGAGGGCCAGCTTCAGAGTCCCTGCTGCCGGACACCTATCCCCCTGTGCAAACACACACCTGAAAAACCAATAAGTGCAGCTGCCATGGAAATGGTAAGGGGCCATTCCGCATGTTTTGGCCCTGCCCACCCCATCCTGGCAGACGTTTTTGTGGGGACTCTCGGCACACACGCGGACAGCCCCAGCAGGCATGCGTGTGCACAGGAAGCGGCAGGCACATGTGTGCACAGACTCGGCCTACCCCATCCTGGCGTCTGCCCAACTCCTCCCCTGGAATGGCATGGGCCAGGCCTGTGTGTGTGTGTGCTCGCTGTATCCTATGCACATGCATGCCCGCTGGGATGTGATGGGCCGGGCGAAAGCGATGCAGCCCAGCGCCTTACCATTTGGAGGACAGCCCCATGGGCCAGGTCTGACCATATCGCCGGCCATATCCAGCCAACGGGCCTTGAGTTTGACATCCCTGCTTTAGATGGTTTCATATCACAGTGGAACCTTTTACACAAATTAAGGGCACTTCAATCCCTCCCGTGCTGTATCTAGCCCTGATGTGGGTCATATTAATAAGGGAAATAAGTTTCTTTAAAATTTTATTTATACATTTTTCTTTAACACACATAAGTGCTTAGTAAACAATGTATTGTCTAGGTCAATTTACTTGTACATAATAATAAAAAAATATTATTCACTTATACCTAGTAATAAACTTCCAACTTCTAATTTCTACCTCTATTGTCTAACCATTGGTAAAACAAATCCCATGTTAAAAACTATTGTGTGTCTTCTTTATCCTTTATCTTTAATGTTAACCTATCCATTTCTGCACAATCTAGTATTTGTATAATTATATTTTCATTTGTAGGAGTTTCCTCATTCTTCCAGTGTTGTGCAAATACATTTCTCACTGCTATAAAGACGTGTAGTATTAAATATATGTTCCCTTTGTCATATATTTCTGGCATTATATCTGACAAAAATATTTCTGGCTTTAAATCTATATGTTGCTTTAACGTTTTCTCCAACATGTGTGTATTTTCATCCTAATTTTTTTAGCCTTTGGCCATGTCCACCACATATGGTAATAAACAGCCCAGTATCTGATTACGTTTCCAACATTTGGCAGCAGGGGTGGGATTCAAAAATCCCAGCAACTGGTTTGCTGCCCAGTTGCTTGGTGAGCATGGCCATGATGAATGTGGCCTACTGAAACGTCCGGGAGGGCCGTTTTTC